CAGCGCTGGGGAGGAGGAATCGGTGTTCTTTGTGTGCGTGCCTTTGCGGCGCTCGAGGAGTCTGCTCCTAGAACGGAGACGACCACACAGAGAACACACAAACGAGAATGAGTCCTGTGTGTAAGGAAATCTTGGGACACGTTCTCCGTCGAGACTATAAAGCTTCCTGAGGTGCTTCGGGGCTTCTGTGAGCCCCGCGGGACCACTGGGGGAAAGAAACTGTCGTGGGCCACCTGCTGGCAGACTGGTCTCTTACTCGGCACACCGAATGTGGATAGATCAAGACGTGGCGGAGGGCAGCCAACACCGTGGCAATGCAAGGGCCACACCCGCTCTGCAGAGGGTCATCCCAGATACACCAGGAGCCCAACATTCCTTGCCCAAACATCGCAGAAGCTTGTGCTCATCCTGCGCAGCATTGTTTCGCGCGCGCTCTCGGCCAAATGTGTGGTTGTAACGACGTCCAGAAGGGATGACCATGGATCACCATAATTCGTCGGTGGCCGTTCGCACGCGCATGTGGTGAGGAAGTGCTTCGCCAAGAGCTGAGACCGTGAAGGCACCACTGTGCACTAGCATAGCCATCGCGATTCACGTCAAAGGAAATGCGGCATGATGGCCCTGATCCCCCCAAGCGCTGCAACGTTGTATAGCTAAGACTTGCATGCTGCCTGCCGCAATGGTCAGCCCCACCCCGCGCACAAAATATATTGTAATAACTGAACTTCCGTCAGGCGTGCCTCGTTGAACAGGAGAGTTACCAATACACGCAGACATGATTGCCACGTGCTACCACAACGCAACAAACGATAGCAAACTAAACGGTTGATGCGCCACAACCCACCAAAGCCTCGCAGACGCTTCTGGGCGCTCGAGGGATTGCAATGCACAGCCATGAGGGCAAAACAGGGGCAGAGGGGGGGGGGAGGCAGAGAGAGGGGGAGGGAGAGAGAGCGAGATAGAGCGAGAGACGGAGAGAGAGAGAGAGAGGGAGAGAGCAAGAGCGAGCGAGAGAGGAAGAGAGAGGGAGAGGGAGAGGGAGAGAGACGTAGCGAAAACGATCGAGAAATATGACGGGTAACCCATAGATGGCGAGAGCGCGAGAGCGAAATAGAAAACGACAGTGGGAGAGACAGAGAGGATCAACGTGAGAACTTCTGCACCGCCGTCACTACGTTGTTTCCTGACGTGGGCGCCCAAAACTCTCGGCCCCACCCCATAAGGGTAAGCTGTGCATCACGGGTCGCTATGACGGTCACAATGCCCAGAACAGAACTTCCACGATCGACATTGCGAACGCTTGCCAGGGTGGATACCGAACCGTGGTGTCTGACACTCTCGGTGAGCACTCGATACGACGCGTGGTGCAAAATATGTGGTGCTAACTGTGTAGTGCAGAATTTACGTTGCAACGTACGCCGTGCAAACTGTGCGGTGCAATGTATATAGATGTATACCTATATACATTTATACGAGTGTATGTATTTATGTACATGCGACGTGAGCTACGTAGTGCAATATATGTGGTGCAAGCGCTGTAGTGCAACACACCTGTGTATACTTACCGACCTACTTACGTACATGCATACACACATGCATGCAAAACTTCACACATACGTATAGGCAACACAATTTCCAGTATGTGTAAGCATGACTATATATACATAAAGACGTGTCTAACAAATTGTATGATACAGAGGTGGTGCAACATATGTAGCGCAACGTATGTATCACATTTAATGTTCGAAGAACTTGGAGACAACAACGTCGGCGCTCCAGGACCATCCCACTGGCACAATGGCGCCAAGACCCTTACCATGCAGATCAATGATCTGGGCGGGCGAGCGATGATAGTGACGACAACATCGGCAACGACGACGATGAGAATTATGATAGTCAGTGGCGGCGATGGCAACGAGAGCGACGGCCTCGACAATGACGATGACGAAGCTGATGATGACGATGGTGGCGGTGGCAACGGTGGCGATGGTGATGGTGATGAGCATGATGGCAACGATGATGACCACAGTAATGATGACGCTGGCAGCGATGATGCTGATGAGGATGATGAGGAAGTGTTCGAGCGCACAGAAGACCAGAAAAAGTTGATCGACAACATATAATTCCCAAAACAATGCTTACACAGGCATTCCGATTTCTCTTCTAAGGAACTGGGCCCGGGCACGGCCCCAGTGGTCCCGTTCCCGTCCGTCGCCGCACGATATTGCAAAATAAATGATACCGGAGAAAAACCCAAATCAGAATCTTTTTAGGGCTGTAGGGCTCTGGGGCTATACGGCTATAGGGCTATGGGGCTATAAGGCTCTGGGGCTACAGGGTTATAGGGCTATAGGGCTATAGGGCGATAGGGCTATGGGGCTATAGGGTTGTAGGGCTATAGGGCTGTAAGGCTATAAGGCTATAAGGCTATAGGGCTATAGGGCTATAGGGCCATACGGCTATAGGATTATAGGGCTATTAGGGCTATAGGATTATAGGGCCATAGCGCTGTAGGGCTATCAGGGCTATAGGGCTATAGGGCTATCGGGTTATAGGGCTATGGGGCTACAAGGCTAAGAATTTGAGATCCAGCTTCGTTGAATTTCTTAGCCCTCTTGCGAGAAACCAGCTTTGAAGCGTGCAGGTTCTTACCGCAGCGCGGCGCCCGTGTTGGTGGTTTTGATGAAGATTGCGCTGGTGATTGTGCCGATTGCGGGGCCAGGGGCTCTGCAGCAATGTTTGAAGCACAACATGCAGGAACATGTGGAGAAAGATGTGGCGGGAGATCTGGACGAAGACCGGCGGGAAATCTGAAGGACGATCTGGGGAATATCTACAGTAGAAGAGAGATATCGAGGAAGACCCCGGTGAAGATCTGGAGGAAGATCTGAACGAAGACTTGGAGAAGATCTGGGGGAAGAGCTGGAGGAAGATCTGGAGAAACATCTGGTGGAAGATACGGGGGAGATCTAGAGGAGAGATCTCGAGATCTGGGTGAAGATCCGGGTCTGGGTGAAGATCTGGGGTGAGATCTGGAGGAAGATCTGGGGAAAGATGTGGGGAAAGATCTGGAGGAAGTGCTGGAGGTGAGATCTCGGGGAAGATCTGGGTGATATCTGGGGGGAAATCTGGAGAAGATCTGGGGGGAAGTCTGGTGGAAGATTTGGAGAAAAATCTGAAGGAAGATCTGGAGGAGAGATCTCGGGGAAGATTTGGGTGAAAATCTGGGGGGAGATCTGGAAGAAGATCTGGAGGAAGATCTGGAAGAAGATATGGAGGAAGATCTGGGGGACAGATCTCGAGGAAGATCTGGGTGAAGATCTGGTCGAAGATGTGGAGGAAGACCTGAAGGAGATTTGGGGAAGACCTGAGGGAAAATCTGGAGAAACATCTGGTGGAGGATCTGGAGGAGAGACCTTGGGAAAGATCTGGGCGAAGATCTGGGTGAAAATCTAGGGGAAGATCTGGACGAAGATCTGGGGGCAGATCCGGGTGAAGATCTGGAGGAGAGATCTGGGGGAAGATCTGGAGGAGAGATCTCGGGAAAAGTCTGGGTGAAAATCTGGGAGAAGATCTGAAATAATCGGATGTGAGGGGGTGAGATCGAAGTGGAACGGAGAGCCCCCCTACCCGGGAATCGGTATCGGTTTCGTGTTCGTGCGTGCCGTGCGTGCGGGCGAGGCGAAGCTGCGTGGGCGGGCGAGAAGAGTCCCGCCTCTGGCCGAGGCGCGGCCAGACCAAAAGCCTCCCTTCCGGCAACCGGTGCTGCGCGGTGTCCCGCCGGTGTCCCGCCGGTGCCCCGTCGGTGTCCCGATGATGATGATGATGATGATGATGATGATGATGATGATGATGATGATGATGATGATGATGATGATGATGATGATGATGATGATGATGATGATTATGACGATGTTAATGATGATGATGATGATGATGATGATGATGATGATGATGATGATGGTGATGATGGCCATGGTGGTGCTGGTGATGGTGATGGTGTCCCGATGATGACGATGTTGATGATGCTGATTTGCAGATGATGATGGTGGTGTCCAGATGATGACGATGATGATGATGATGATGTTGATGACCCTGATGGTGTTGATGATGATGAGATGATGACATGATGATGGTGTCCCAGTAATGATGATGTTGATGTTGATGATGTTGATGATGATGGTGATGATGATGATGATGGTTTCCCGATGGTGATGTTGATGATGGTGATGATGATGACGATGACGGTGTCCCCAATTTTGATGATGATGATGATGATGTTGGTGATGAGGATAATGATAAGGTGATTATGAAGATTTTGCTGATAGTGGCCCAATGATCATGATGGTGCTGATGTTGATGATGATGATGATGGTGTCCCGATGATGATGCTGATGATGATGATGATGATGGTGACGATGATGGTGTCCCGATGATGATGATGATGATGATGATGATGATGAGGGTGCTGATGATGATGATGATGGCCATGGTAGTCATGATGATGGTTTCCCGATGGTGATGTTGATGATGGTGATGATGATGACGATGACGGTGTCCCCAATTTTGATGATGATGATGATGATGTTGGTGATGAGGATAATGATAAGGTGATTATGAAGATTTTGCTGATAGTGGCCCAATGATCATGATGGTGCTGATGTTGATGATGATGATGATGGTGTCCCGATGATGATGCTGATGATGATGATGATGATGGTGACGATGATGGTGTCCCGATGATGATGATGATGATGATGATGATGATGATGATGAGGGTGCTGATGATGATGATGATGGCCATGGTAGTCATGATGATGGTGTCCCAATGGTGATGTTGATGATGAGGATGTTGCTGATGATGATGGTGTCCATATGATGATGCTCATGATGATGATGGTGACGATGATGGTGTCCCGATGATGATGATGATGATGATGATGATGATGATGATGATGGTGGTGATGATGGTGACGGTGTCCCGATGATGATGGTGATGATGATGATGATGACGTTGATTGTGATGCCGTTGGTGATGATGATGGTGATGATGATGGTGTCCCGATGATGCTGATGTTGATGATGATGATGCTGGTGTCCCGATGATGATGATGATGCTGATGATGAAGATGATAAGGAAGTGATGATGAAGAGCTTGATGATGGTGGCCCGATGATGATGATGATGCTGATGTTGATGATGACGGTGTCCCCAATTTTGATGGTGATGATGATGATGATGATGATGATGGCGATGAGTATGGTTTTGACGATGATGATGGTGTCCCGATGATGATGATGTTGATGATGATGTTGCGGATGATGATGATGATGGTGTCCCGATGATGATGATGCTGATGTTGATGATGTTTTTCATGATGATGCTGAGATGATGATGATGATGATGATGATGGTGGTGTTCCGATGAGGGTGATGATGATGGGGTCCCGATGATGATGTTGTTGATGATGATAATGGTGACGATGGTGTCCCGATAATGATGATGGTGATGATGATGATGTTGATGATGATGGTGGTGAGGTGATGATGGTGTCCCGATGATTATGATGATGATGTTGATGACGTTGATGACGATGATGTTGATGATGATGATGGTGACGTTGATTGTCAGATCGATTGTGGTTGTGAGATAGATTGTGAGATCGATAGTGAGATCGATAGTGAGATCGATTGTGAGATCGATTGTCAGATCGACTGTGAGATCGATCGAATTAAATAGATCGAGTGAGATCGATTGTGAGATCGATCGAGTGAGATCGATCGAGCGAGACCGATAGTGATATCGATAGTGAGATCGATAGTGAGACCGATCGAGTGAGACGTTGGTTCCCCCCCCGAACCTCCTTATCACCCGAAGGGTGGTCGTATAGGTATATGAAAGACGATCTGGGTGAAGATCTGGGTGAAGATCTGGGAGAAGATTGGGGAGAAAATCTAGGCAGATGAACTAGGAAGATGTAAAGGAAGATCTGGAGGAAGATCTGGGGGAAGATCTGGAGAAGGCTATAGGGCTATAGGGCTATAGGGCTACCGGGCACATGGGCACCCGGGCACCCGGGCACCCGGGTACCCGGGCACCCCCGGGCACCTCTGGGCACCCCCGGGCACCTCCAGGCACCCCTGGGCACCCGAGCAACCCGGGCACCCCCGGGCACCCGGGCCGGCCACCGAAATCGGCGGCGAACCTCACCTAACCATATGAATCCGCTATAGGACCCCTACAGAGGCAAGCTCTGGCTAGGGAAAAGTCCGTGTACGGCCCAGGCAGAGCCGTTCCCGTCGCCGCCGCCCCGCTGCACCGCCCCCCCCCCTGTCGCATTGCAATCGCAGTGCTTCGCAATCGCATTGCATGGCTATCGCATTGCATGGCAATCGCATCGAATTGCAATCGTGTTGCACGGCATTGCACTCGCATCGCATTGCTCTGCATTGTGTATCATTGATTTGTTTTGCATTACATTGCTGTGCATTGCGTCGCATCGCATTACATTGCTTCGCATTGCGCTGCATTGCTTCCAGCTGCAAAGTATTGCTTTGCAGTGCGTAGCATTGATTTGCATTGCGAGGCACTGCTCTGCATTGGATTGCAGTGCTTGGCAATGTTTTGCATTGCTTCGCAAGGCTTTGCAATTGCAATCGCATTGCACTGCTTTGCTTGGCATTGCGCTGCAATGCGGCACATTGCTTTGTATTGATTCGCATTGCGTTGCATTGCGTTGCATTGCGTTGCATTGCGTTGCATTGCGTTACAATTCTTTGCATTGCGTTGCATTGCTTTGCATTGCGATGCATTGCTTGCCTTGCTTTGCACTGGGTTGCATTCCTGTGCACTGTTTTGCATTACGGTGCATTGCTTTTCACCACACAGGGTTTCCCGCATGGATCGCACAACCTAGATTGCACAACATGGACCCCAGATCGCACCGCATAGGTTGCAATACATCAGTGCTTGGGGTCCACGCTGGCAATCATTGAAAACAACATGCTGTTCATACTGACATGTGAACGTTTTCGTATTCTGCGTCCCGACACTGGTCGGAAGGAGGGGAGGGGTGGGGTCTGGCTTCGGACCTCTGCTTAGCGCGACTGATTGCAACAGTGCGTCCTGTGAAGGCGACTCCACCCGCTCGAAACATGCGCCAAAAACACGCAAGATCGACTCCAATGCGAGGGCCCGCGCCGATCGGCGAAACAACGAATAAGAAAACGATCGCAATGTGTCGAGCATGTTTGCATTGATTTCAACCTGCTCGCGAGGGGGGACGCGCGCGTGTGACTCGCACGGTATCGCTGGACAATATGACAACACTAAGCGATGGTATTCATCAGATCTTAGCAAGCGAGCAAGCACAGAAATCTCGCAAGTCATCTTGACCCAAAAAATATCTGGGCGAAAGACACAGCCATATGCAGTTTTGAGTAACGCGTTGTGGGTGCCGTTTTCGATGGAGCTCCCTATGGGGCCACGAAGCGCGTGAGGGACGTGCCATAATGGGTGGGTGAGACGCATGCGGGCGTCTCAAACTGGAGCCTTCGGCGGAGCCACCTATGGGCCACGAAACGCTGTACTGGGTGTGGCGGGCGCATGCGGGCGGTGCCCCTCGCTGGAGCCCCCCCTATGGGGCCACGGAACGCTGTACTGAGTGGTGGCTGACGCATGCGGGCGGTGCCACTGGGGCCTTCGGTGGAGCTCCCTATGGGCCCACGAAACGCTGTACTGGGTGGGGGGTGGCATGCGGGCGGACCACTGGAACACCCTACGGGGCCACGAAAAGCTGCACCGGGTGGGGGGGACGCATGCGGGAGGTGCCACGGGGCATTGGTGGAGCTCCCAATCAATGGGGCCGCGACAGGCAATACTGGCTGGTGGACGACGCATGCGGGCGGTGCCACTGGGGTCTTTTGTGGAGCTCCCTACGGGGCCACGAAACGCTGTATCGGGTGGGGGGGACGCATGCGGGAGGTGCCACAAGGGATTGGTGGAGCTCCCAATCAATGGGGCCGCGAAAGGCAATACTGGCTGGTGGACGACGCATGCGGGCGGTGCCACTGGGGTCTTTTTGTGGAGCTCCCTACGGGGCCACGAAAAGCTGTACTGGGTGGTGGCTGACGCATGCGGGCTGTCCCACTGGGACCATCGGTGGAGCTCTCTGTGGAGCCACGGAACGCTGTACTGGGTGGCTGACGCATGCGGGCGGTGCCACTGGGGCCTTCGGTGGAGATCCCTATGGGGCCACGGAACGCTGTACTGAGTGGTGGCTGACGCATGCGGGTGGTGCCACTGGGGCCTTCGGTATAGCTCCCTATGGGCCCACGAAACGCTGTACTGAGTGGTGGCTGAAGCATGCGGGCGGTGCCACTGGGGCCGTCGGTGGAGCGCCCTTTGGGACCACGAAACGATGTACTGGGTGGTGGCTGACGCATGTGGGCGGTCCCACTGGGACCTTCGGTGGAGCTCCCGATGGGACCGCGGAACGCTGTACTGGGTGTTGACTGGAGCATGCGGACGGTTCCACTGGGACCATCGGTGGAGCTCTCTATGGGCCACGAAAAGCTGTATCGGGTGGTGGCTGACGCATGCGGGCTGTCCCATTGGGACCTTCGGTGGAGCTCCCTGTGGGGCCACAAATACTGGGTGGTGGCTGACGCATGCGGGCAGTGCCACTGGGGCCTTCGGTGGAGCCCCCTATGGGGCCACGAAGTGCTGTGCTGAGTGGAGGCTGACGCATGCAGGCGGGCCCACTGGGACCTTCGGTGGAGCTTGGGCCACGAAACGCTGTACTGGGTGGTGGCTGACGCATGCGGGCGGTCCCACTGGGGCCTTCGGTGGAGCCCCCCCATGGGCCAGGGCCCACGAAACGCTGTACTGGGTTGTGGCTGACGCATGCGGGCGCTCCCACTGGGACCTTCGGTGAAGCTCCCTATGGGTCCACGGAACGTGAGGGGTGTGCCGAAATGGTGGACATGCGGAGGGCAGAGGCAAGGGATGCGAGGAGGGGGAGGGATGAGGAGGCGGTGGAGGAGGAGGAGGAGGAGGAGGAGGTGGAGGAGGAGGAGAAGGAGAGGAGGAGCGCGGGGACCCTCTCTTCAAAACGAGGACCCAACACCACAGGATGGTTGGGAATGATCACAGATGTCGGTAAACATGATTTGTTGGCCAATGGTTTGGAAATGACTTTGGCACGTTCGCACGCGTGAGGGCAATGGTGTGATGCATTGCGGAATCCTTGACCATGCATGTGTGAGAGCGAAGCGAGTGATCCGCATACTATAAGTTGACAGGGACGGGGGGGGCACTGTGTGACTGGCTGGGATATAACAACTTGCATGTGGATGAACGACCGTGCATCGAAAAATATGCAACGCCCATACGCGGAGGGGGGTCGTGAAGTCTGGCCTCAGCATGGGGGGTAGTGTCTCATATCCTATCGCAAATGGGAGCGTATGTCGTGCAATATCTGAGGTGCCCACGATGTGGTGCAACGAATGCGGTGCAATGCGTAGGGCGCCAGCCACACAAGCCCCGCCAACGCACGACCCGAGGATCCCATCGAATGACCTGGTGACACACGGTGGAAGCACTGTTTGGAGCAACACGCGCCGCCATGGTTACCTCGAGCCGCCTGGTGCACGGGGAACATGCGTCGGAGTGGCCGAAGCACGGCAGGTCCACGACGCGATCATGTGGGCGTGGGTTTCTGACAAGGCGTTGGTTCCCCTACCTGGAACGGTCGCAGCTTCCCGATGACGCGAACCGCTCGACATCGGCCGATTCCAAGCCAATGGCGGCTTCAACCGTAAACGCCCGCGTCTGGGGTCGCGCAGTGCACCAGTACCAGGCGACGCGCGGGAGCGCAGCGAAGGCCTTCTTAAAGATCGGCACCTCCCGGATGCCGAGGGACGACAGGCTGTAGTAGAAATACAGCGTCGCTTGGCATGCCTCCAGTTATCCACAGTGAGGTACGCATCACAGCAACTGCGGCCACGCCGAGCACTGCAAAAAGAGACGAGACGGGGAAGCGCTGTGAACGCCGCGCGGCCGAAAACGTGACGGCATTGGGGGAAGGGGGAGGAGGAGGAGGAGGAGGAGGAGGAGGACGACGATGACGACGACGACGTTGGGGGGAGAAGGAACACATAGGATGGAAGGGGAAAGAAAGGAGCGTGACCTACAGAGGTCGCAGGAGGCCTCGATCCTCGATCCTCGAACCTCGAGCCTCGAGCCTCGATCCTCGACATCCAGCGTCGCGGCTTGTTCCCAACGTAACTCTCCCGAGGCCTGGACCCCTTGCTGGGAACCTGTCCCTCGTCCCGAGACGGCTCTTCACGGCCTCCGGGGCCCGGAAGGGCCCACACAGACCGAAATCGCCCAGTTAAAATGCTCGCCTAAACCTGATCGGACAAGAACGGGAAGCGCCGCTGTAGTCAAATGGGCGTATTGGGCGAAGAAGAAAAGGAAGGCGAGGACAACGAGGAGTCGATGGCGAGGACGACGTGGCGAACGTGAGGATAGCGAGGAGGAGCATGAGGACGACGAGGAGGAAGAGAAGCACAAGGACGAGGACGAAGAGAACGAGGGCGAGTACGAGGCTCGCCTAAATCCGCCACCGTGCCTGCAGCACGCAGTGGAGTGCCCCAAGGCTCAAGAACCCATGGGAAGTTCAGAGCTGGAGGGTTTTTAAGGGCTGGGGCCATCGGTTTCGCAGGGATTTCCGGGGGTTCCCCGGGATACCCCGGGCGTGTCGCACGCGCTCTCCCGCAGCCCAGCCGGCCAAACATGGACCACAAATGCGCCCAAGAGGCCTCGAGAAGGCCCAAGAGCGCCCCAATACGCCCAGGATGGCCTCAATAGGGCCCAAGACGTCCCAAGGGTGTTCCAGGAGGCGTCCCAAGAGGGCTCCACAAGGCAAAAATAATTGATGCCCCTTTGATGTTTGAACGTTTTTGGTCTTCGAACTTCCCCTGTTGTCCGACGCTCTAAGACGGCCCACGAGGCCCCCAAGATCGCCCCAAGACGGCCAGGGCCCCAAGACGGCCCAAGAGGGCCGAAGGACAGCCCAAAAGGCGCCCAAGAAGGCCCAAGAGGGTCCAAGGACGGCCCCGAGAGCGGGCCCAGATGGGAAACCCGAACAGACATGTCGAGCCCTCGGCCCGAGGGTCCCCGAGGTCTCAGCGTGTGTATAGAAATTCATGCGTATGTATGCATCTGTATACAGACATGCATATACACGTGTACATGCACAAAAAGAGAATTCCAGCAGACCACATATTATATACACCATGTGAGTCTGCAAGTCCATACATCTGCATGTGCATGTTTACACGTACGCATAAGATTCACTCACACATACAAATACACGCACTCACATCTATACATAATATATATGTATACATATGTATAAAATATATGTGTCTGCCCCCTTTCTCTAAATAAATGTAAGAACTATATATATATATATATCCCTCTCTGTCCCTTGGTCGTTGACGCTCTCTCCCTCTCTGTCTCGTTATATGTATATTGTTTTTGTTTGTTGTTTCTCTCTCTCTCTCTCTCTACTTCGCCATATGTATATATATATATATATGTGTGTACCTCTCTCTCTCTCTCTCTGTTCCCCACCCCCTCCTCGCTCTCTCACACACACACACTCTATCTCTCTCTCTCTCGGTCTCTCTCTCTCTCTCTCGCTCGCTCGCTCGCTCGCTCGCTCGCTCCACACAGCACCGCGTGCTGCCGAGCCCGCCCGCTGCAGCGCCCGCCGCCCCTCCGCGGTAACCAGCGCCGGGAAGTACGACGTGTCACAGGCGAAGCGGCAACCAAAGTACCATCCTGCGCTCGGCCCACATCAGGGGAACGAAGAATGACATGCACATAAAAACTCGAGTGGGAGCACGGAACAGGCGCCCCTGGTGTGGAGAGCGGTCGGGTCAGCACACGCGTCGGCGTGGGAAGACTCGCGGGGCCCATAGAATGAGAAGCTGAGTTTCGAGGAGGTAGGAACGCATGGGATCATGCGAGAAGGCAGAACTGAGATGTGCAGGTGAACGAAGAATGACATAAACATAAAAACTATGAGGTCCGCGCGGATTTCTCGGATCCGCGCTGGACCCCCCTGGCAGCGCCTCCGGCGCCGCCACTGGCGCGCTCCGCGCGCAAGGGAGGGGGGTCCAGCGCGGATCCGAGAAATCCGCGCGGACCTCCGAGTTTGTATGTTTATCTCATGTTTCGTTCCCCTACACATCTTCTCAGTTCTGCCTTCTTGAATGATCCCATGCGTTCCTACCTCCTCGAAGCTCAGCCTCTCATTCTATGGGCACCGCGAGTCTTTCCACGCCGACGCGTGTGCTGACCCGACCGCTCTCCACACGAGGGGCGCCTGTTCCGTGCTCCCACCCGAGTGGCGAGTGCCCGGCGTGTCGACGGTAGTCTATGCTCGCTGGATGCACATGAGGGTCGGCGCACCCCGCCATCATTAGGATGCCGAGCGCTGGAAATGAAGCTGGCCACGTGTGTGCATACAGCTCTCGCCCAGGCCAGCCACGCCATGCGTACCCAGCTCCCTGACAGTTCGGCGTGTTGAGCCTCCTGCTCGACGGGAGCTTCCGATTACAAGCTGCAAGCGGCCACGCCGTCAAGCCCGCTGGGCAAGCGAGAGCACTCTCCGGCTTGTCTATATCGCTGCGTCTCCTGACCCACACGATGCGCACTTCAAATCGCCACACGCGGTTGTTCGGCGACCTTAAGCATTCGGAACTGCACCGCTACCGGGGGCCAGCAGCAACCAATCAGCCCAAACTTACCAGAGCATTACATCGCGGATAATACATATCATCCACGTCTGGTCCAACATTGACAACCCCATGGGCGCAATTGTGATGTTCTTCTTCTCCCTTGGCCAGCGAAATTTACATCAAGAGATGGAAACCACCAGGCGGCATGAAAACATCGCTGCGATCGCGTGTGTAGCGGCTCCAGGTTGGTCGCGAGCACCGTGAACAACAATACGTCCTGACGCCTTCCTGTGGGCTGACTGTACCACTAACATCGTTGGGCCTCGGCAGCGACAGGGAAACAAGGCTTAAAAGCGTGACCACGAGCCACAGAGGAATCAACCGTGTTTGAGTTGTGATGTTTTTTCATGGAAAACTGGGCACTCATCGCGGCGATGCTTGGCTAATAAATCCTCTGGTGAGCTGTGGTTTGATGTGCCCATCCGGCACGCCTTGACGGCACTGGCACAGCAACAAAACAGAGAGCCACGCGGAAAACAGCAGCGGCAAAAGCAGAAAGAGAAGGCAGGCAGCGAGGAGGAGGAGGAGGAGGAGGAGGAGAAGGGGGCAAAGGCGCTGTGCGACGGTCCCTGGCGGTCCAAGCGGCCACTTATATAATGTTCAAACACGCAGCGGCGACACAGGGGGGAGGAGCGAGGATAAAGCCCATCGGAGTGGCTGGGGTTGGCCGCCAGCTGCCGATGGGGGGTCAGGAATTGCGTGCGATGGGCACCGAGCCATAAAAAACAGAAACAACAACAAAAAGCGAGGAGCCCGAACGCGATAGAGAGAGAGAGAGAAAGAGAGAGAGAGAGATGAATACACAGCCCGCCACTCTGGCCCTGGCGGCAGCCGCCAGTGTCATGCGAGGCGGAGGAGGCAGCTACGGCTGGCCTCAGAAAGCGGGGCCGATGGACATGATCCAGGTGTCTCTGTCAGTGGCCCTGTCACCACCCCGTAGAACATCACCAAGCCATGGACCATCCAGGAGATGACGATGAAATTTGACTCCGTCGTGGTGGGCACCATGGTAGTTCCTAGTTCCTGATAGTTCCCGACTCTGTGGTGCTCAACGTCATCGCAATGGACGCCGCAACGGTCCCCTCATGCCCATCACTGGTGGATAGTGGGGACGCGCTGCTTGTGTCCATTGCTGTGCTCACCGTCTTGCCGCTGATGCCCGTCGTGTTCCCTCGAAGACGTGCCCGTCGGGTCGCTCCTGCTATTGCTGGTTTTGTGGTGGCATCGTACAACTGGTGCCCGAAGAGGTACGCAGAGATATGCTGCATGCCGCACGGCGTCGGAGCTTGAGTAAGAGCGGAGTCGGAAACGGAGGAAGGGCTCACGCCGTAGCAAGCACTGGAGTCGGAACAGTCGCTTGTGACATACGGCTGGTTCCCGAGGCGCTGCCCAAAAATATGGTGATCGTCGCACATAGACGGTACTGGCGTCGGCGTTGGCGTCGGTGTTGGCATCGGCACTGTAGTCAGTGCTGGCGTGGCCGTTGTCGATGCTGAAGTCGGTGATGGTGTCGGAGTCAGTGCTGGCGTTGATAATGTTGAGCTGCTCGACGCGGGATTGCTGGCGTTATCCTGGCGCCCCCCCGTGGGTGTCAAAATCGCGGTCCATCACCGTTTTCCTGACTTCTCATTGGCGGGCGAGAAGGCCAGTCTGATCGCCCTGGAGTCTTGAGCTGCACCAGTTCCAAAGGTGTATCCTCGCGTTCCTCGCCCGACTTATCCTCACACTCTCCCCTCTCCTCTTGATTCATCTCTTCATGCTGCCACCCCCTCTCCCATCTGCCCCCCTGCTCCAATGCCCGCGTGAACACCGATTTCAAGAAGAGACCACGGGATCCAGCCAATCATTCCCCTCCGCCTCCCCCTCCCCTTGCCACAGGAACAACATACAGCAAGAAACCATCCTCGGACCACTCGGCCCGATGCATTGAGCGGCATCCCTCGTTCTGCATCGATACGCCTGGGCCCCTGGGCCACACGTGGAGCAAAAATCGCCCTCGTCCATACTCGTCCTTTCGTACTGTATACCTGATCTTATTCCTTCTCCTCCTTCTCCTATTCCTTCTCCTTCTCCTCCTCCACGCCCCACTCCCCCTCCTCCTCCTCCTCCTCCTCCTCCTCCTCCTCCTCCTTCTCCTCCTCCTCCTCTTCCTCCTCCTCCTCCTCCTCCTCCTCCTCCTCCCTATCCTCCTGTGGCCCCCCTGTCCTCCTCCTCATGTGGCCTACCACAGTAGATATGCATACTACACCCAACCCGCTACTGCTCCTCGTCGCCATCACCACCCGCCTCTTGAGCAAAAGACGTCGCCACTCCACCTTGCCCCGGCGGTCCCCACAGGTTCAACACGCGCAGGTAGAGGTGCAGGTACGAGACCCGGTCAAACTTCTTCCGCAGCACCATGAACACCGTGCCTGCCGGCCCGGCTCAGCCCCGACGGGCCGCGCCCCGGCCCAGCGCGCGGAGCAAGCAGGAGGTGCCCGCCCAGAGCGTCGGGCGTCGGGCAGACGCAGCACGGCTCACCACAGCGGCCAGGCAAGAGCCGATGCGAGCCGAATGTCCTCGCGGAGCGGCGGGCTTCGAACTCCGGGTGATGCAGGAGGAAGTAGAGGGGAGGAGGAGGAGGAGGAGGAGGAGGAGGAGGAGGAGGAGGAGGAAGAAGGGAGGAGGAGGGGGGGAAGGGAGGAAGGGAGGAAGGGAGGAATGAGGAGGAGGAGGAGGAGGAGGAGGAGGAGGAGGAAGGGAGGAGGAGGAGGAGGAGGAGGAGACAAGACAAGACAAGACAGGACAAGGCAGGGCAAACATCGTTACGAGCCGACTGTCCTGGACTGCGGCGGGCTCGGACGCGGGCCCTCGGGTGCGCCCAAGAACGCCCAGCCAGCGGACGCCGCTGGAGAAGGACGACCCTTCCCTGCCCGACCGCGGGACGGCTGAAAGGGGAGACCCACCTCTCGAGCAGGAGATCGACTACATCCTGCGAAATGCTTACGAAATCATGGGTTAAGACATTCATAGTCTCAGAGTGTTGATAAAAAAAACCTAGAAATGTCCATGGAAATCTTAGGACTTACATTGAAACATCGAGAATAATCGAGATTCTGACCGAAAACGCAAGTTTTCTTAAGCGTCGCCTAGGGTGTACCGTCCACCCGTAGCATGAGGACGCACGGTAAGGATGCAAGGGCCTCGGAAGGCCATCTCGAAACTTTTCGAGCGGGGCGCGGCCAGCCAAAGTGGCCAAGGATGGGCCGAGGAGGGAAGGATGCAAGGGTTGGCCTCGGGAAGGTTGCCCGTCCCTACTGTGCGGGTCAACTGTACAGAAATGATGTACCACAAAGTTGACCTGTTTCGTCGAATCTACAAAACTACAAAAGCTCGTCATCTGCCTTGTAGATTCGACGGAAGTTTCAATTCTGGGGTGAACAGATTATGTGGTGGATCTCCGACTCGAACCATATTTTGTCTGGGAATCCGCTGCCCCTCAGGGGAGCTGTCACCCAACCGCGCGGCAGAGGCCCGACCACACGCGTGCACAGCACGCCTGAGAAAAATAAAACACCCCGCGATGGGAAGAACGCCGTGGCAATACAAGCGGTCGCACCGGGCACCAGACCGCGCGCCCAATACAATGTCACCAAGACCGATCTCCCATTTCGGGTGCGGCCTAACCGACCCCTGGCAAACCGTCCCCATCCATAACGTCAGCATCGCCTTTTAACCTTCCCTGCGGCCGCATGCATACGTCCTGGGACGAGGCGAGGGGACGTCACGGAAGGGGATGGTTTGCTAGGGGTCGGTCAGGCCGCCCGACTACTCGAGCCATGGATCGGTCGCACCCGGCACCAGACCGTGCGCCCAATAACGTCACCAAGACCGATCTCCTTTTCGAACCACGGGGAGAAGGCGAGAAAGGGCTGCGCACCCGGCCGTCACGAGACGCCCGCGCGGACGGGTGCGCTCTCTCGGCCGCGCAACAGCAAGGGGGACGGCGCCACAAAGGGGAGGCCCTCTGAAAGGGCGGGGGGGGCTTCTCTTGGAAGGCAGAGGCCTTCCTGGAAGGGACCACTGGGATGCAGAGGGACGTGTTAGTACGATGTGTCCTCCTCGGAGGCTTGCGCCCGACCTATATATATACATATATATATACACAGGTATATACATATATCTATATATGAGTATACATGTGTGTATGTATGTGTGTTTGTGTGTATTCGCCGAGGGGTGCGACCAAAAAGCGCTTGCCGCGGAACATATAGTATTAAATTTCCCGGCGCGCGCGTCGCCCTTGCGTGGGCGATGCACACATCCGCCACCGTGCCGCTGGGCACGGAATGGGCGTGTTCTCGGGTCCTTGGCCCAATCCTCTAAGCGTCAATCCTCAATCCTGAGGAGACTATAAGGACGCAGAGCCACAACTGCCAAATCTTTTGGGGCTTGGCGGTGCCCCGCGGCTTGTCGCATGACTTTTTGCGGCCCAAGAAGGCTCCAAGACGGGCCAAGAGAGCCCCAAGAGACCCCTCAGATGGTCCCAAAATGCTCCGAGTCGCCGAAAGATCGCTCCAAGACGCCCACGGCGGCCCCAAGACGGTCAAAGAGCCTCCAAGACACTCCCAGAGGCCTCCAAGAGGCCTCCCAAGAGGGCCCCGAGAGGCCAAAGTCATTGATACTCCTTTGGTTTCTGTTGCTTGTTTTTTTAATGTTGGCGCTCTCGCCTTTTCGGCTTCCCGACGCTCCAAGACGGCCCACGAGGCTCCCAAGATCGCCCCGAGACGGCCCCAGAGGCCCCGAAGAGGGTCAAAAGACGACCCAAGAAGCGCCCAAGACGGCCAAAGAGGGCCCAAAGACAGCTCCCAAGAGGGGGCCCAGATGGGGAACGCGAACGGACATTTCGAGCCCTCGGCCCCGCCAGGAGGCCCCAAGAGGCCCCCGAGAGGCCCCCAAGAGGCCCGAAGAGGCTCCCAAGAGGCCCCAGGAGGCCCCCAAGAGGCGCCCAAGAGGCTCCCAAGAGGCCCCCAAACCGCTCCCAAGAGGCCCCCGAGAGCGCTCCGAAGAGACCCAATCCCTGAGAACTCTAAGCCACAACCCAGGCACAGTGGCGGGATGGGCCGAAAGCCATTCGGTCCCACCGCCCCCTTCGGCTTGCCACCGGGGTGCCCGGCGTGCCGGACGTTCTGAAAGGTTCTGGATTCTTTTTGGAACTCCCCCGTGGGCCTTCGGCACGGCGCGCCGGCCGCCTGTCTCGTCGGCTCGTTCGCTTCGGATGGCTTTGAAATGGCCTCCGAGGTGGGCAGGATGCCCCGAAGACGGCCGAGATGGCCCCAAGAGAGCCCAAGGTAGCCCCGAGATTGCCTCCAAGACGCCCCCGAGATGCCTCCAAGACCGCGAAGAAGATCCAAAAGAGCCCAAGACGGCCGAAGAAGTGCCCAAGAAGCGCCTGAGACGGCCCAAGAGGCCTACAAAAGGGCCTCCAGGAAGGACCGACGAGGCCAGCATCATCGATGCCCCTTGAGTTGTTGAAAGTTTCTGGCTTTGCACGTGTTCGGTTCTCCGAGGGCCCAAGACGGCCCGAGGGGCCCCCAAGATCGCCACGGATCGCCCAAGGGGCCTCGAAGATGGCCCTGCGACGGCCCACAGGGCCTCGAGGACGGCCCCAAGAGGGCCCCAGGACGGCCCAAGAGGCCTCCAGGACGCGGAAGATGGCCTCCGCGACGGCTCTTCCGCGCCCCAGGAGCCCCAGAGGGCCGCAAGGCGTCTCCAAGGCGGCCCACGAGGAACCCAAGATAGTCCAAGATGCCCTCAAGATGGCCCAAGACGGTCCAGGAGGCTCCCAAGAGGGGGAGGGGAAGGAGGAGACGGAGCACAGGAACAGCAGGAGCACGTACACGAGCAGGAGCAAGATCAAAAACAATAAGAAGAGCAAAAACAAGAGCAAGCGCAAGAGCCAGAGGAGGAGGAGGAAGAGGAGGAGGAGGAGGAGGAGGAGGAGGAGGAGGAAGAGCAGGAGGAGAAGGAGGCCTCCACGACGGCTCTGAACCGCCTCAAGAGGGCCCCAAGACGGCCCAGACGGGCCCCCCAAAGAGGGCTCTCGACGGCGTCGGACGAGCCCGGAGCGCTCCAAGACGGCCACAAGGGCGCCCAAAAGGCCTCCACAGACGATCAAGAAGCCCAAGGAGGCCTCCAAGAGGTGTCCCAAGGGCCCCAGGAAGCTCCGAGGAGGCTCCCAGAATGACCCAAGAGGCTCCCAAGAGATTTCCTCATCGTTCTTCTTCTATTCCTCCTCCGCCTCCTCCTCCTCCTCCTCCTCCTCCTCCTCCTCCTCCTCCTCCTCCTCCTCCTCCACAATTACTCAATATGAATACTACTTTCCCTCTTCCCCTGATGGCGAGCTGGGAATACTCGACACCCCCCCCGCGTACTGTTTTTTACACACAGGATTCCCGGGAGTTGGGTTTTCGCCTGCGTTTTTTTTCAAAATGCTGCTCTCGCTGAGGCGCCAGCCTCAGTTCTGCTCCCGAATCGTTCCGAATCGTGCTCCCGCTGCAGCATGGGTCTCATTTTCGGATCGGTGTTTTGCCTCCGTCGTTCAGGATGGCGTTCTCGCCCCAGCGCGGGCCTCTTTCTCGCGCGCCCATCCGCCCACCACCACCGCGCCGCACCACGCCCCGCCCCGCCGCACGCACACCCACCGCCACTTCCACCCACCAACGCACGCACGCACGCACACGCACCACCACCGCGCACCGCCACCACCACCGCACTACCCCACCCACCACCACCACGCTACACCGCGTCACACCACATCACGCGCGCGCACACACAGACACACACGCACGCACGCACGCACGCACGCACGCACGCACGCACGCACGCACGCACGCACGCACACGCACACACACACACACACACACACACACACACACACACACACACACACACACACACACACACACACACACACACACACACACACACACACACACACACACACACAGACACACACACACACACACACACCACCACCGCCACCACCACCACCACCACCACCGCCATCACGCACGTACGCACCTGGCCCACCACCAAACCACCAAGACACCACACCACGTCACACCACAGCACACGCGCACACACGCACACACAGACACACATACACACCACCACCACAACAACCACAACCACGCACACACGCACGCACTCACGCGCACCACCACCCACTACGCACACGCGCGCGGAGCCACACGTCCGCTACGACACGCGTCCGCGGATAGAGGAAATCATCGCCATGGTAAGGGATGGGAGGGAGGGGTAGGATGTCAGATGTTGACGCGAGCGCACCTAACTTGTCATCCTCCCCCTCCGTCTCCTCCTTCTTCTCCCTCTCCGCATTCTCTCTTCCTCCCCCACGCGTTCCCCGAAGAGTTTCCAGGGAGGCCACCGAAAACGGTAAATGAGACCAGATCGAATTCTGGGTTGTGCTCATTCTCGCCCACGTGCTCCCCGAAGGCTTTCCAAACCGACTCGGGGAACACATAATCCGATAGCTTCACCAAGCTCCAACCCAACTTTCGGCCGCATAGGCGCTTCCAAGAAGGCACGGGGCGGCGGTGATTCGCCGTAGGCATCTTCGT